GGCCGGTTCACCTAAAATTAAATATTAAAATTAAATATTTTATACATTTATTAATTAAAATTAAATATTTTATAAATTCGGGTTCACCTGAGGGGAAAATGGGAAAAATAGTGAAAATTCGGGGACATTGCGGGGAAATATCGGGAATTCTGAGGAAAAGCTTGGGGGGATTTGGGGGAATTTGGGGAAAATTTTGGGAAAATTTCGGAATTTCTGAGGGAAATTTGGTGAAAATTCAGAAATTTTGAGGGAAATTTTAGGGTGATTTTAGGAAATTTTGGGGAATATTGGGATATTTTGATGGGGTTTTTTTGGGATATTTCTGTGATATTTTGGGGATATTTTGTGGATATTTTTGGGATATTTTGGGGATATTTTGGGATATTTTGATGCGGGTTTTTTCTGATATTTTCAGGATATTTTTGGGGTGGTTTTGGGATATTTTTGGGGTGATTTTGGGATATTTTCAGGATATTTTTGGGATATTTTGGGATATTTTGGCCCCTCACCCGGTGCAGTTTGCAGTACAATCCACAGGCGTTGCACACCGGGGTTGGGATATTTTGGGGATATTTTGGGATATTTTGATGCCGTTTTTTCAGGATATTTTCAGGATAATTTGTGGATATTTTTGGGATATTTTACACCCTCACCCGGTGCAGTTTGCAGTACAATCCACAGGCGTTGCAGACGGGGGTTGGGATATTTTGGAGATAATTTCGCTATAATTTGGGATATTTTGATGGGGGGTTTTTTGGGATATTTTCAGGATATTTTTGGGGTGATTTCAGGATATTTTGGGGTATTTTTGGGGCTCACCCGGTGCAGTTTGCAGTATAATCCGCAGGCGTTGCACGCGGGGGTTGGGATATTTTGGGGATAATTTGGGATATTTTAACGGCGTTTTTTCAGGGTTTTTTGGGGATATTTTTGGGATATTTTTGGGGTGATTTCAGGATATTTTGGGATATTTCACACCCTCACCCGGTGCAGTTTGCAGTACAATCCGCAGGCGTTGCACACGGGGGTTGGGATATTTTGGGGATATTTTGGGTTATTTTAACGGCGTTTTTTCAGGGTTTTTTGGGGATATTTTCAGGATATTTTTGGGATATTTTCAGGATATTTTCAGGATATTTTTGGGGTGATTTCAGGATATTTTGGTGTATTTTACACCCTCACCCGGTGCAGTTTGCAGTACAATCCGCAGGCGTTGCAGACGGGGGTTGGGATATTTTGGAGATAATTTCGCTATAATTTGGGATATTTTGATGGGGTTTTTTTCGGGATATTTTCAGGATATTTTGAGGATATTTTTGGGGTGATTTTGGGGTGATTTCAGGATATTTTGGGATATTTTGGTCCCTCACCCGGTGCAGTTTGCAGTACAATCCACAGGCGTTGCACACGGGGTGGGGATATTTTGGGGATATTTTGGGATATTTTGGGCTATTTTAACTGGGTTTTTTTGGGATATTTTCAGGATATTTTTGGGGTGATTTCGGGATATTTTGGGATATTTTGGGATATTTTGATGTGGTTTTTTTTGGATATTTCAGTGATAATTTGGGGATATTTCAGGGATATTTTCAGGATATTTTTGGGGTGATTTTGGGATATTTTGGGATCATTTCGCTATAATTTGGGATATTTCAATGCGGTTTTTTTGGGATATTTTGAGGATATTTTTGGGGTGATTTCGGGATATTTTTGGGATATTTTTGGGGATATTTTGGGATATTTTACACCCTCACCCGGTGCAGTTTGTAGTACAATCCGCAGGCGTTGCACGTGGGGGTTGGGATATTTTGGGGATATTTTGGGGATAATTTTGGTATAATTTGGGTTATTTTAATGCGGGTTTTTTTGGCCATTTCAGGATATTTTGTGGATATTTTTGGAATGATTTTGGGATATTTTGGGATATTTTACACCCTCACCCGGTGCAGTTTGCAGTACAATCCGCAGGCGTTGCACACGGGGGTTGGGATATTTCGGGATATTTTGGGTTATTTTAACGGGATTTTTTCGGGGTTTTTTTTGGATATTTTGTGGATATTTTTTGGGGTGATTTCAGGATATTTTGGTGTATTTTACACCCTCACCCGGTGCAGTTTGTAGTACAATCCGCAGGCGTTGCAGACGGGGTCCCCGCGGGGGCTGCGTCTCCACAGCGTCGTGGTGCTCGTTTGGCAGTTGCTGCACACGGTGCCCGCTCGTTTGCTCACCAGCTGGAAAAAATGGGAATTTTGGGAAAATTTGGGTGAATTTTGGGGATTTTGGGCAGATTTGGGAGTTTTGGGAAAATTTGAGGGGAATTTTGGGGGTTTTAGGAGGGTTTTGGGGGAGGAAAAAGGGTTTAAAAGGGGATTTTTGGGAGGTTTTTTGGGGAATTTAAGGGAGATTTTGGGGTAAAATTGGGAAATTTTGGGAAAATTTTGGAAAATTAAGGAAATTTTGGAACAGTTTGGGATATTTTGGAATAATTTTGGGCGTTTTTTTGTGGTTTCTTTTGCCGTTATGATTTTTGGGGTAAATTCCGGTATTTTTGTCTCTTCCCAGTCGTTTTTTGGGGCGGATCAGGGGCCGGTTGTGCCCCTTGAGCCGATGGGTTCGGGTGATTTTGGGGCAGATTTGGGATATTTTGGTGCAGATTTTTGGGATTTTTTCGGGATTTTTTTGTGGGGAGTTTTGGGATTTGGGTTTTTTGGGATTTGGGGTGAATTTTGGGATTTCTCTCTCACCAGTCGTTTTTTGGGGTGGATCAGGGGCCGGTTGTGCCCGTTGAGCCACTGCCTTTGGGTGATTTTGGGGAGTTTTTTTTG